TCTGTGTGTGTGTGTGTGTGTGTGTAAAGCCTATCACTGCTCTAACTCTGCAGACTCTGATCAGCAGCTGTGAGGAGGAGAAGACAAACCTTTTCTTCAAACTATGGATCAGGACTTGGTGAGAGTTGAATTTCACATTATTCACATTTTTAATCACAAACTTTTCTTCTTCTTTATTTTTCTCTGCACCTGAAAGTTGCAGCTTTCCTTGAAGAGCTGCTCAACTCTCCCTCACGCCCACAGATACCACTCTGCTCTATGGTGCATGTAAAAATGTCATGTTATTGTCCCCGGTCTTTGTCCCTCAGGTGATCCCGGTGGCGGTGGCTGTTTCCGTGGTGGTGGTGACAGTGGTGATCGTCCTGCTGCGAGGTTCAGCAGGAGAGAAGAAGCGGCAGCAGCCTGTTACTCTGCAGGATCCTATGGTCAAATATTCACTTCCCCTCGTAGAAAAACAGGTGAACTGCACACAGACTCATGCTCTCGGCAAAGAACTCGTCCTGCATCAAGCAAACAACCAAACAAACTTTATCTATAAAGCAGTTGACCTGGACTCACATGCAAAGTCCTTTGGAGTTGATTGCGAAAATAAAAATATGAGTTCAAGACACTTTGACAACAATACAAGAAAGTTAAGACGTGAAATGTGAATAAAATTAAATAAAATAGTGAGATAATGATGATCAGAGAACAAATGTTCACATTTTAAACCTGAAAACACACAAACTTCTGTCTCATGACGGAAACACAGACAGAACAATAACTTCAGAAAATAAGATCTGCTCACATTCACACTCTATATTAATTATATACTCATATTTAAGTATTGATGAAGCTTCAGGAGTTGTGTACGGAGGAAACTGGATTGGCTTGTGGTTCAACGATCTTCACACAAATGTTAAAGTCTATATGCTCAGTGAAAGTGAAAGGAGGTGGAGACTTGTCGTCCATCTCGATTTATAATCCATGGTTTTGTGAAAGAAGATAAAAAAGAGCATGAAAAACATCTGTGGTTCTGCTGCATCAGTTTCTTCTCAATCTGACAAACTTACAGAAGAGAACTGCTCCTGAGCTCTTACATGCAGACTTGTGAGGATGTTTCTGAGTGTGTGTCTGTTGTGTGTCTGTTGTGTGTCTGTTGTGTGTGTCCTCGTGCAGGAAATCAGTCACGACACAAAGAAATTTCGGTTCGGCCTTCCCTCTGCTGCTCATATCCTTGGACTGCCAGTAGGTACTGGAGCTCGTCTTGTCTCGACTTGTTTCTTCTTTTTCTTCCCTCGTTTCTTCAGATCACGTTTTTTACGACTGAGAAGATTTTCTGTCCTTCAGGGTGAAAACTGACGAGCTGCTCAGACAAACACTTTGAATTCACACAAACACCTTTCAGATGAATTGACCTGGTTCTCTCTGAGAGGAGCTGCTGGTCACCTCCTCTCACCTGGTGTCACCTCCTCTCGTGTATTTATTCACATGACCTTATCTATTTTATAACTCTGTCTTCCTCCGCTCGTGTTGCCTGAGAACTTTGTAACATCATGAAGAGAAGTGTTTTATCTTGAAACTCTCTTGTGCAACATATTTTAAATGATTCGGGGACAATTTGTCCGATTACAGAAATTAAAAAGTCATAAAATTGCTGTAAATACTGTGTTGAGAGTTAAAAACATTCCTGATGCTTGTGTTCTTTGACCTCAGGTCAGCACGTGTATCTGTCGGCCAAGGTGAACGGCAGCCTGGTGGTCAGAGCCTACACTCCAGTGACCAGCGACGAGGACCAGGGACATGTGGACCTGGTGGTGAAGGTAAAAACATTAGTGAGGGAGCACCACAAACGCTGGACCACCGGTCGGTTAACATAAAAACCTGTGTGTTTATTTATTCTCAAGCTCTCTTAACACAACTTTACATTTATTTAATCTCTGCACTTTGTTTATAATTATGATAAAAAAGTAATTTGAAGATTCAGGAGGATCTGGATTCTCTGGACGTCCCTGGAAATGTAGAGTTGAAACTAAAACTGTTCTTTGTGTAACGTCTCCGCAGGTTTACTACAAGAACACTCATCCATCGTTTCCAGATGGAGGGAAAATGTCTCAGCAGCTGGACAACATGGCCGTCGGAGACAGAATGGACTTCAGGGGACCCAGTGGACTGCTGGTGTACAAGGGAAATGGTATGAGATGAGTATTTATGTATTTCATATACTTTACATCTATGTGCAGTTCTTTCAGTCACCAGCAGATTTCACTGTGGTACAGTTTGATTCTCTCTCTTTTTTAAAAAGGTCAGTTTTCAATCCGACCCGACAAGAAGTCAGAGCCCAAGGTTCGAAAGTTTCAACACGTTGGAATGATCGCCGGGGGAACAGGTGCATTTATATTCATACGATTCTATCAAATAGAACATTACTATATTATATACTATAGTATATATTAGTACAATGTGCAATAATGTCTGTGAAATGGATTCGGAGGCCGCCACTCACACTCAGCCATCAGATATTTAATTTAGATTGAATTTGTTTAAAAGATATAAATGACAGCATCTGTTAAACAGAACATGCAGTAGGTAGATAATGATGTGGTAGTATTAGGATACACTCAGCAACTACTTTTACTTTAATATTTACTTACTTAGTAGAAATATTAATGTGCCACTTTTTTATTTGTTCTTCGGTAAAATGTTTGAGTTCTTCCTCCGCAGCTATGAGACTAATTCAACTGTGTCAGTGCAGGTTTCCTCTCTTAGAAATCTTAGAACTGAAGTTTAACTTGATGATATTTAGTTCGGAGCCCCTCTGACGATCGTATAACTTTATTGAAAAGTTTTATTTCACCCCCGATGACTGAACTTCAGTGTTTCTCCATCACAGGAATCACTCCGATGCTGCAGCTCATTCGCAGGATCGCAGCCGACCCCACTGATGACACCAGGTGCTCCCTCATATTCGCCAACCAGGTCAGATTGCGTGCAGCATATTGCTTTGGGAAAATCTTAGAGTCACTGGAGACGCTCCGGAGAAGTAACATCCCTCCGTCTCTCACTCGTTCTCTCAGACTGAGAAGGACATCCTGCTGAGGGAGGAGCTGGAGGAGGTGAAGAAGAACCATCCGGACAAAGTGCAGCTCTGGTTCACACTGGACAGACCTCCACAGGGTAAGAACACGTGTCTACATGTATGAAGCTGAACGATTCTATATATTAAGTTTCTTACAATGAAAAAATATGTTTTCAGCTCCTAACTTTACTGTTTTAGTTCAGTTTCTCATGAGTCTTATTTCAGGCAGCAGTTCATTTTGAGATCCATCGATTGTTCCCTGGGAATTTGGAGAAAATGTCAGAAAACACTGTAAAATCTTAAGATCGTTATATTTATATCAGCGGCAGATCCTCCTCCACACAGTCCGCCATGTTTCTAGAGAAGCCGGAGAGATTAAACCGAACCCTGGCTCTGGAGAGGCCGTCGCACATGAGTTCACTGTTTCAAGTCCACAGGAGGTTGTGAAATACAACTTCACCACTAGATGTCACTAGATCCAACATATCTGCGTTCTATTTCGTGTTTATCGAGTAAATAATATCGAGTGACTGAACTTCTTCTTCTGAGAGGATGTACTTCATTTAACACAAACAAAGTTTTCTCAGGAGGATCAGACGACTGATATGAATATACATGTGGGTGTTAGTGCAGTGCCGGGCTGCGTGACGCTGAGTAAATCTCAAGGCCCAGGTCTCTGGGTTCTGAATATTCAGAGTGAGTGAAACCAAACAAAGACCGTGGAGGAGAATCCTCAGGCCGAGGACGGAGATATCTCCAGCTGAGAGTTACAGCGACTTGGCAACACACTCGTGTCTTCGTTTGCATAATCCTCAACGTGAGCAGAACCCAATGAGCGTCCTATTGTTGCATCACCTCTGTTGTGAGGGACTTGAACGCCTCACGTGTTGTATGTTGCATCTTCATTGCTCCCGAGCTGAACACGTCTTCTTCTCGATCATTATTCATCAGGACACGTCGTGCACTCGCTCTTCGTTAGTTACGTCATTCCTCGGGCAGCCTCGGAGGAAGCGATGACAATCTGTGGACGAAAGCTCCAGTGGAACGAATCTCTTCGTGTTCCTCGCTGTTTAATGGCTGCGTTGACACGAGCAGCTGAAATCTGACGTTTATCTTCCTCCTGACATCAAAACCCAAGCAGATAATGAAAAACTGTGAGAGGAAGAGACGCTTCAACTTCTGTTCACCTTTAACCATCAGGCCTCCCTCTGCTGAGACACCGGGGACAGGAAATAAAACTGGTAGAAAAAAAGGATGTTTTGATATTTGGTCTTCTAACTTTTCCATTTTCACATTTTCACGCCTCCACGCTGGCGACAGTCGGGCGCCTGAGGCATCGGGATTCTTGTGAACAGGATATCTCGAGAAGGAAAGAGGGGGATTCCTTTAAACTTGGTGCAAACGTTCACTCAGACTCGAACGTGAACTGACTAGGGTTCAGAGGTCAAAGGTCAAGATTTAAAGCCACGCGTTGAAGCAAGAATTTCTGTGTTAAAGTTGAGAATGTGGAGCATCGTGTTGAGTTGAACTTTAGTATAAGTTTCACAAACAACTAAATATTTGATCCTTTGTCTCATCAGCTCCACTCAGACACAAACTTCTTCCCTTCTTGTCTTCCAGACTGGAGCTACAGTTCAGGGTTTGTGAGCCATGACATGATTAAGGAGCACCTCCCTGCTCCGTCCTCCGATGCCCTCATCGTCCTGTGTGGTCCTCCACCGATGATACAGTACGCCTGTCTGCCCAACCTGGACAAACTCGGACACAAAACAGAAAACATCTTTTCTTACTAGTCGTCTCATTTCCTGCTTTGTTCCCTGTAACTGTTTGGTCACACATCACTGTATGAACTGTACTGACGGTCTAATACAAACGAGTGTACTATGTGTGACTGGTGCTCATGACAAGATTTTCTTTTATTTCAGTGACACTACAACAACCACTTGCCTTTAAAATCCCAAAGCTGTGATATGATATAAACTTTTATTCACTTTTAAAATCAATTTCCAGACAAAAACCTGATGGATTTTTTTTTTGTAAGATAAACATGGAATAAAGATGGAAAACAAAACCCACGTCTAAATGTGAATTATTCTTCAAATGAATGAATTTCAAACCACTGCAGCTGAAGTGTGAAACTTGATTTTCATTCATTTGCATTATTATTGTTGTTACTATTATAACTCTGTTTTGTTTGTTATATTCTTCTTCTATCTTCCTGCTTTCTCTTCTTGATCATTTGTTCATTATCTTCCTTATCCTATTATATAATTTTAATTTTAACGTTTTTATCTATTACTTTTTATATTAATGTTATTATTGTATTATTATCATTATTATTATAACTCTTGATGTTATTGTATTTTAAATGTGTTTCTATTTTTATTAGATTATCTATAAATACAACTATAGATTATTGTTGTTATTGTTATCATTATTATTATTATTATTATTATTATTATTATTATTATTATTATTATTATCATTGTTAATAAGCTGTGGAGGTTTTTTCTCAGTCGTCAGTGTTTGGTGGTGCGTTCACTGTCCGCTCTCGTTATTTCCCACTGTCCTGTGAAGGCATCTCAGCCCAGTGGGCGTGTCTCCCTGTCCAACATGGCGGAGCAGGAGTCACGCTCGACCTCCTCCGCTCCTCCTCAGTGAGTTCGGCCCGAACTCGGTGGTTCTCCTCGCGAACATGTCGCGTCGGAGCAGCGCGCCCTCGGCTCGCTCCTTCCCCCGGAGCCTCGTGCTTTTATTGGCGTGCTGGAGCTGCTGGAGCTCGCGGGCGTGCGCGGCCGGAGGAGTCGCCCCTCCGAGGTGCGTGTTGTGGGGACCGGGGCTGGAGCCCGACGCGGTCCTCCCGGTGAGACACTTCTTCATCCAGGCGGTCGGCGCCGAGGGCCGGAACCTCACCGAGTCTCCAGGTCGGTGCTGCAGCAGCAGCAGCAACACAATGCTAACACACGGCTAACTGGAGCTAGCTGCATTCAACACGTTCTTCATGTTTAAAATATTAGAACAATAAAATCATCAAACTGTTTTAGTGACTTCTTCTATTATTCACTTTGTTCTTCCTTCTCTTCTTCTTCTATTAACCAGAGTCCACTGTCCTAACATTACAAAAGGAAATATGAGGTGTTTACTATTAATTCAATCCTGCAGCAACATGATGGATGTCACATGTGTGTGTGTGTGTGTGTGTGTCACTGACATGTTCTTCACGTGTGCTGTTCAGGTAAAGACACGTTCAAAGTGAAGATCAGCTCCCTGGACAGGAAGGAGCACATCCGCATCCATGTCCCTCCTCCCCTGGACAGAGGAGACGGGTCCTTCCTGATGAGGTACCGTCTCTATGGCTCAGCGATGAGCGGTCTGAAGGTTGAGGTCCTCCACCAGGACGCTGCCGTCGCCGGGTCACCGTACATCATGCCAGGTCCGTGTTGTGGCAGGTGGTAAAAATTACATGCCCCCCCCCCCGCCCTCCATCTAACCCAGAGTGTCCTTGTCCACGCTCAGGTCCGGTCTATCACGAGTACTGTGACTGCCCCGAACCCGATGCCTCCGCGTGGCAGAGCACCATGAGGTGTCCGGACGAGGAGCCTCAGATTCTGTCCGACTTTAAACCCTTCCCCACCGTCGACCTCCAGCACCTCAGACAGGAAGTGCCCCAGAGGTTCTCCAACAGAGGCGGGCTCATTCACTACGCCATCATCGACAACCGGCTGTACCGCCGCACTCTGGGAAAATACACGGACTTCAAGATGTTCTCAGATGAAATACTGCTCTCGCTGATGAGGAAGGTAAAGTCGTGTGTGTGTGTGTGTGTGTGTGTGTGTGCAGATGTCCTGCTACAGATTCCGTCACACTGCTGTCGGAACATCTCTAGTTGAAGGGTCCGTGATCTTAATGTGACTGTTCAGTCTCCTGCACGTTGGAATTGTGGGATTGCTGATTTCTGCCATCGTCCTGTTGAAGGTGCGGTTACCTGATGTGGAGTTCTACATCAACGTGGGCGACTGGCCGCTGGAGACGAGGAGGACGGACCCCGTTCCCATCCTGTCGTGGTGCGGCTCCACAGACACCCGGGACATCGTCCTCCCCACTTACGAGGTCACACACTCCACCCTGGAGACCATTAGAGGCGTCACCAATGACCTGCTGTCTGTCCAGGGAAACACAGGTAACACACACACACACACACACCTGTGGATTTTACATCTTTATGTGTTCGACACTTTTCTGTTCATGTGGACAAAGTTTATTTATTTGTCCCTGTGCTACTTTAAAAAAACAGGAATTTGGAATTCGTCTTTATGTCACTGTGTCTGACAGGTCGCTTCAAGGTTCCTGAAAATCTTTTTGAAATAAATAGATTTTAAATATAAAAGTGTTTCGTAGACGCTCTCCTTGGCTCACAGATAGTTAAGGTGTTGGAAGTGTCTGGTTCTCCCTGTTTCTACAGTCCTCGCCTGTGAAGTGTAAACTCATCAGACGAGTGTGAGAGAAAAAAAACTGGTGAAGTTAAATCAACAAGTCTTTAATGCAGCCTCCCTCCCCTCCGGCTGTCTGTGTCCTCACAGTGCAAGTCAACCCCAGATCGATTATGTGTGAAACACTCATTTTCATTATTCCCTCACATGTTCTGATAATATTGGTATGAACTTGTTCCAGGGCCTCCGTGGGTGAATAAAACAGAGCTGGCGTTTTTCCGTGGCCGGGACAGTCGTGAAGAACGTCTTCAGCTCGTCTCCATGTCCAAGAAAAACCCTGAGCTGCTGGACGCCGGCATCACAGGATGGTTCTTTTTCAGAGACCGAGAGAAACATGTCGGCAAAGTACCGCTCGTTGGATTCTTCGACTTCTTTAAGGTGACGGGGACAAATATACAAAAAGATAAATTCATGAAACTACAATGTGGAAGCTGCTTTTACCCTTTTTCCTTATTTAATTTCTGTCTTTGTATCTTGGCTGATTTCTTCCTGAGTTGCCTCGCACTGATAAACACTTTGAATTCTCTCTTTTAGTTCAAGTACCAGGTGAACGTGGATGGAACGGTGGCCGCGTATCGTTTTCCTTACCTGATGCTCGGGAACAGCCTGGTCCTGAAGCAGGATTCGCAGTATTACGAACATTTCTACAGCTATTTAAAAGCCGGCGCTCACTACCTCCCCGTGAAGAGAGACCTGTCGGACGTTTTGGAGAAAATCAAATGGGCCAAAGAGAACGACGCTGAAGCGCGGGAGATCTCCAGGGCGGGTCAGGCAGCGGCCAGAGAGCTGCTACAGCCCAGCAGACTGTACTGTTACTACTACAGAGTGCTGCACACGTACTCCGAGAGACAGACGGGACGACCGACACGACACGAAGACATGGAGCTGGTGACCGAGACTGACGACCGCACCGCCGTTTGCACGTGTGAGCGTAAAAACCACAAAGAAGAAGAAGAAGCAGCAGCAGCAAGCAACAAAGATGAACTATGATGGAGTCTCACTTTAGTTTTTATATTGTTTTCTTTATTTCTGAATCATTCCTGACAAATAAAGAGTGAAATGTGGATTTCACAGTTTACAAGTAAAGACCTCGATTAAAGGGTAAAGGAAGTTGAAGGACAGATTTACATTGAGAACTTTAGTCCTCGGTCATTTCAAATTAGAAATAAAATGGCTGAGGACTAAATTATGATGCCCTCTTTATTTTTAACAATTGTTTTGTAAAACTCAATGTGAGGCAGTGAATTCTGTAGAAATGTGCCTTTGCTTGGGATATTTTTTATTCAGCGTTATCCTGAAACGTGTGTCTTGAAATAAATCTTATAGATTACTGAACATCCTGCTGAGACACCTCAGTCTGGAGACAAGTTACTGATCGATTTCTGCCTTATGTTCAGGCTGAACGTGTTTTTACTTGTTGTCCCCACAAAATGTTTTTTAGAAGTTTGTGGTGCACTGATTCGTGGCCTTATCTGACCCACGTGTGTTTCTCTTACAAGCTGTGGCTCCGCCTTCAGAACTACGTCCTCCTCACGTCTCATGGAGAGTCCTCTGACGTCGTTGCACATGGTTTAAAAAAAACGGTCTTTACACCCACTGTGCGTTTCTACCTTCCTCTGGTGCCTTAAACTCTCCATGTTTTCACAACTGAAAACCAGCCGCCTGGTTCTTCATGAAGTTCACACTACAGACGTATATTCTGATGTTTTTATATTTCATGTTTTCGTCTTATGCATTGAATGTCTTTGGATTTGTTAAGTTCCCTCCAGCGTCTCTATATAAATAAAAATGTTTAGTAGCAATTATTAAAACAAAGGTTTGTTTAACATGTGAATTATGTTTGATAAATGTACGTTCTTCTTCTGGTGACATTGAACAACACTAAAACAATTTGGTAAAAAAAATTTTTCTATTCTCTGTTATTAATATCTATTAAATAATTTCAATACTATTGAGTTTCTCTGAACATAAAATCTAATACAGAACTTTCAGTTGAAGCCTCTGATCAGTTAATAAATAATAACTTTATTTAAACGACAGCTTTACAAGATGAAAATGAAGAATTGAAGGTAAACGACAGAAGACAATTAAAAGCAGCAGTTTGAAAGAAGACAGATAAGAATGTTTATGTTACAGAAGAGAAGCGAGAAAAACAAAATCGATTCTAAAATGATGAACAGTCGTTTCAGAGCCGGATAATGAGTTTGTACAGTGAAACATTAAAAAAAGTGGTTGGAGGTTTGAGTCTTCCAGTAAAACAGAATAAACAGCGACGATGTTGAAATGAATAATTAACTCATTGTCATTTTGGCAAAGGAGCAAATAAAATAATAAAACATTCATCTGTAATTCATCGGCTGCATATTCCAGGGGTGTGGCGCTGGTTCACACCTGAAGAGAACAGAACCATTGTAATTTATTAATTCTGTGGATGAAGAAAGAAATCTGAAGGATTTGGTGAAACTCACTTTATGTTATTGCACAAATCAAAAGGATGATTTCACGTGCTGTCGACCACCAGTGTAGAAATGTGTAAAGTCTTTGGTTCAAGCTATTTGAAAATAGGAAACAGATGGAAGGAAGAGGCTCCATCAACAACTTTCAAACTCCTCTAACTTTATCAAACTCAACATTTAGTTCGACGGGAGGTTGATGATCTTGAGATAATCAACACTCACATAACATCAAGTGTATTCCTGTGGTTTCGTATCGTCAGTCCTTTTGGTTCAGCTGAATTTAATCATGAGAGTGAGAGGATCTCCCTCCTTCTTGGTGACGATAGCCTGCATCATTCCTGAAGGTGTGTGGAGATACCGTGAACCTTTGAAGAAGTTCTCAATAAACGGGCGGTCGATCGTGTCGCACTTCCCGATGGCCGCCTCGAAATTGTTGCTGAGGACGCCGTAGATGTTGCTCTTGTCGTTTTTCTTCCCCAAGAACAAGAAGAGGGCGTAGCAGTCTTTGCCGATAGAAGTGCAGAAGTCCACCAACCTCTCGTACATGGTCTTGTTGCTGGACTCCTTCTGGGCCATCAGGAGGGACTCGCTGAAGGCCTCCGGGGAGACGCCGTTCTCCTCAGCGTCCTCCCTCTCCGGCAGGTGCAGGACCTGCACGGCGATCTGGATCCGCGGGTTCTTGGTGGACTTCTGCAGCAAGGCCCAGACCCAGTCAGCCCCGAGGAGGATGCGTTGCTCGGGTGTCATGGCGGTGCAGTTGAAGGTGTCCGTCATGTTCAGGCAGACGCTCTGGGTTATGTAGGTCATCAGGAAGACCTGTGGGAAGACAGCGGACTTCTAAGAAACAGTTTGATGAACCACGCACCAAAGAACCACACCGATCGAGGCACCTACCTGAGTGAGCACCTCAGGGGTCGGGTGGAACTTGTCCTCCGGGTCTTTGAAGGAGAGGTACTCCTGAGTTCTGGCCGAGGCGGCTGTGATGCAGTCATTGAACAGAGGAATGAAATCATTGGGCTTGACGACAGGGGGCTTCCTCAGCGTGGCGAAGATGCTGGGTCGAGGCGGCACGTTCTCGTCCGTGGGGGACTGGGTGTAGGAGCTGTGTTTGGAGGAGGGGAAGAATTTGGAGTTCCGGAAAATGTCGGAAGTGGGTTTGCTGATGTGTTGGCCCATGACGGACTGATGATGGAGAGATCAGAGGGCGGTTTCCCTGATACACTACAAACAGAATTTGCACGATTAGATGAACGTGGACTGTTTTCGGAAACGAACATATGGTTGGTAGAAATAGAGACTGTGGTATTCTGATGGTTTTTAAAGAAACCGCCGACTACGTCTTTGTCCTGCTGCCATATGGTACCGTTGTTTCCTTCATTTGACAGTGAACAAATTACGGTTGCACATTAAAAGTCTACCAATCGCGTCTCTCTACCAAAGCAAAGCCCCGACGCAGAGCTGAAAACGTGTGGTAACACCTGTAAAAAGTTGAACTCATCAACATTGATACTCACCAGGATGGGTCTGGAGGTATGTGCAGTTCCAAGTCCGCTCCCTGCCCACCGCTCCTGTCCCCTGCCAAAACACACAGTGTGTCTATGTGTGTGTGTGTGTGTGTGTGTGTGGCGCTGCGTCTGAGTCTCTGGGGTCCTGATGCGTGCAGAACCTTATGGAGAATAACCAGGGTTCTCTCTCCCAGGTCTCCAGGGGGACTGTGTCAGCGCGGGTGTGGTGTTTGTAACTTGTCAAATTTGAGCTAAGTCAACAGAAGACTCATCTTACCAGTTAACTGTCAGCAGCAGCTCGGTGACTGGAGCTGGCCCGAAGGGTTTGGTGGGTAAACAAAATGCTTAACTCGTGCTCGTCTCTCGTTTCAGAAAAAAAAAAACACAGATGAGGAGGAAATGCAGGTTGAGTCAGGTCATTGTTCTTGTTAAATTCGAGTTTTAACCAATGGAAGCTGAACTTTTTATGAGCTTGTGAACTTTCAGTCGAGCTCCAGGTGAAGTTAATTGTTCCGCTGCGTTAGTTCGGATAACTCCTTGTGCTCACCTGAAGTAACTTTCCTGAAGAAATGATGTGTTTAGAACTCAGAGGACTCAGTCTGTCGAAGTGCTTTTATTTTATTTTACAGTCCTTTTGCCATTTGTGCAGTTGTACATTTTGGTGGAGGGTTAGCTTTACTGTACTAAATATGTACATCAATATTTACAGTAACATACATCTGAACCGGTTCTGTACCGAGGAGCAAAGGGAACAACAGGATCAAGGAACCATCACTTGAGTGGAAACTACAAAACAAGCAGGAACATTTACTTTTAAACCTTTAAACATCCATTTTTCAATATTTCAGAATTAAAAAAAAAACAACCAGAAAGTGACATTTTCAATTTTTGCTTTAGGACCAAAGAAATTCCAGCATCTCCATGTTTTCTTCGTTCTCGGGCTGTTGAGGCTCCTCGAGTTTTCCGGTGGTTTCACAGATTTTGTCGCTGATACTGAACCGAGGAGCTTTCATCAGCCACTTTTAGTCACATTTCATGGATCTGTCAAATATCTTGTCGAAGTTGAATATGAACGTCTCATCTAGATTTTCATGATAATCCAAGTTATAAAACAATTCCATGGAGGAGCTGGACCAAACATCATGGGGTCACCATGGTAACTAGGATGACAACAGCCACCATGATACAGCGATACCTCTCTCGTGGATAAACAAGCACTGATCGAGTTGAATGGGCAAAATCGTACTCTACAAAAATATCACTTCATGACAAAATTCCATCCTTCCCACTGTGATGGTGGTTCAGATATGTTTATAACTTTTGTCCCATTCATTCGTTTTAAATCATGTTTAAAAATCTGAAAATACGATGCGTCATTTTCTATTACTATCAAAATCTGAAGCAACACAGACGTCAGACGGAATAAACTTTCCATGTGACTCCTCGTCAGCTGCTCTGAGGAGATCTTGTAAAATGGACGAGCCTGAAATTGTTATTGTTGTTATCGAGTATTTGTGCTTTCAAACACTTTGCGCGTGTTTGTCATGTGACAAGGAATGACTCCTCCTCTGACCCCGTTGTCCCCTTTGAAATACCAGAAGCCTCCGCAGCGTACGTACACGGAGGTCAATCTGAAAGCGTGACCTTTGTAAGTCAACGTTTACTGTGAGTTACGAGAGAATCAGTGGCTGGGAGACGGTGATGTAACCAGCAGAGTTAGGGCGGGGCTTGAGGTGCAGCGCTGGACTGAGGTTGGCTGCTGCAGGCGTCTCGGCGGTTGATTGACAGCGCTAGAGAGCCAACGGTCACTGTCCGTCAAACTAACGCCGTCTGAGGCCGCCTCATCTCCTTCTGCAGCTCCTCCCGGCTGAGCAGGTACTGGAAGCAAAGCACCATGGGAGTGTAATGGGTTAATTGGCAGCTGGTGTTGGTGATGAATTAAGTTTGATTAATTAATTGATGCATTAATTTTTAGTACGATGGGATTTATGATCATTAGAAAATTGGAAAAAATGATTTAGTTTCAACAGGTTTTTATTTTAAATGTGTAACTTAAAATGCTTCTATTATATTCTTAATTTGTTATATTTCTATAAAGAGGATGTGACACATGTTTGCTGTCCACAGCTTTAATGTTCAATCAGCAAACAACAGGAGTAAGATAATGGAGGCTGTCATCTCCATGACAACAGGAAGTAATGAAGTACCAGGGAGCCGGTTTCACGCTGGTTCTCGTGGAATTACTTTCTAATTTCCTCACAGATCTGTGTTCATGTTTTAATGTGGTTTCTCTCTCACATTAAAGTTTTCCATCCGAGCGACTGAAACTTCTGTTCCAGCCGACGAGGAGTCGCAGGAGTCATTAACCAGCCGTGTGTGTGTGTGTGTGTGTGTGTGTGTGTG